ATTATAGTAGAACCAATGTCCCTGTGGATGATAACTTGGAAACTGTTTCTGAGAGAAAAGAACGATGGAGGAGCATATATGTAATTTATTTTACTATGTTCCTTATGTCTCTTGGTTTCAGTATTATACTCACAGGTGTATGGCCATATCTTGATAAGGTAAATACATCAAAGATGATAAATTTTAACATAATATTTCAATATTTTGGATGAATATTGCAGTTGGACAAAAAAGCTGGTAAAGAATTCATGGGATATGTAATTGCTGCTAATCCTTTGGCACAAATGTTATTTTCACCTCTAGTGGGATGGTGGGGAGATAAAAGGGGATCTATAAGAATACCACTTTTATCAACATTAGCTCTTTTTACATTTGCTTCAGGAATGTATAGTGTTCTTGAAATTGTACCAGGTGATCGAAAAATATACATGGTAGCTGCTAGATTCTTGGTTGGCATTAGTTCTGGTTAATATTTTACTTAATTTAATTTTGTCAAATAAAATGGAAAGCTCATTATTCATTTTTGTAATGTATCAATATATTTTCAGCTAATATTGCTATAGCACGATCTTATCTCTCAGCAGCTACAAAAGTTGTAGAAAGAACACATGCTGTTTCTATGGTATCTCTCGCTCAGGTAATATAATTTAACATTATTTTACAATGCAAGTTAATACAATTTTTTATAGAGACTTATTTTATAATTTACTAGGTGCTAGGATTTGTGGTGGGTCCTGGTTTACAATCTGTAGTTACACCTCTTGGAGAGAATGGTGTATATTTTATAAATTTACCTGTTAATATGTATACTATGCCTGGTTGGATAAATGTTATATTGGGAATTCTTAATTTTATTTTATTCCTGCCATGGAATTTCACAGAGCACAGGATTGCTATTCGTGAAGCTATGCAAAGTGAGGGAAAAGCAACAGGTAAAAAATTTGTAAATTAACTAATGATAGGTAAATCAATTAGATCTGACTAAAGAATTTATTTGTTAATTATAGAGGAAGAAACACTGAAGTCTATAAAACCTGACAATCTAGCAGCTTGGACATTAATTTGTGCCTTTGCTGTCTTAGTATTTAATTTTGTACTCATTGAAACGTCAGTACAATAATTTTGTTCACATATCATTCTTATTCATGCCATGTTTTATATTCTTTTATTTCTTTGCAGACTTGGCACCTCTTTAACTATGGAACAATTTGCATGGTCGAAAGCAGAAGCTTTATACTACATGGGTATATTAATGAGTACTGGAGGTGTTGTGTCTTGCATTACATTTTGTATGATTGAACCTTTATGTAAAAGGTATAAATCTTTTATAGAAACAAGTTACAGAAACACGACACCTTTCTATTTATTTTTCTAATATTTTTAGATTTAACGAACGTACTGTAATGTTGTGGGGTGGATTTCTATTCATGGTAATAGGGCGGATATTATGTATCCCATGGGGACCAGATCCTCCAAAAATTGCCTATGTTGAATGTAAGTACACAACGTTTGAACTTAATCGCACGTCGTTTACCATTAATTGCACGCATAAAAGATTTTTTATTTTTATACAAATTTATATTATATTTTACAGCATTAGACAATGTTACAAATGACTTGAATGGTACAGAAATCTTAGGATGTCCAAGTACTCAAGAATGGTGTTTCTATACACCACAACTCACGGTCGTACAGTTTTTCATTGGGTTCGGATTTACTGCTATAGGTTACCCCTTAGGAGTTACTTTAATACAAACTATTTTTAGTAAAGTATTAGGACCTCAACCACAAGGTGTTTGGATGGGCTTAATAGTAGGTGCTGGATGTGCGTCTCGTGTATTAGGTCCAGTATTTGTTAGTGTAATTTATACTCGTTTCGGAACATATCATACGTTTGGTATTACTGGTTTAACATTAATAGTATCTATGATATGGTTGCAAATTGTGAATAAACGATTAGTTCCGCTAGGAGGAAGTGCTCTAAAAAATGAAGAAAAACCTGATACAGAAATTCCATTGGTTCATCTTAAATCTAATGACGTTCGAGAAATAAATGATGCATAAAAAAGGAACAAAAATGAGGAATATGATAGTGTAGCAATCATTACACTTTTAGTGCAATTTTATTTTTGCGAGCTTCTGCATACGTATATACTACTGCCATTAAGAATTGATTACAAATATAATTATATTATTATGAGATGCAGGTATATTTTTTATGGATATTTACAGATTTATAACACATGTTTTACATATATAAGGATTGCAAATAAATGTACGAGTAACAGAAAAATGTAACCAGGATAAGAGTTTTAGAAGACTGTAAACATTTTTATAAGAACGAATTTGTCCAGTTTTATGCTCAAACTATTTTTATATTAAGGTTTTATATAGAAAGCAAGATTGTAAATGAAAATTGTACATAGTACAATATTTTTAACGAAAACAAACTAACCATTATGGTACAAAATGAATTTTAAAAAATTGATTAAACTTATATTTTATGATGTCGGT